GGCAGAAGGTGAGCGGCAGCTCATGGTGGGGAGCAGGGACATCCCATCGTGTCCCCTCCAGCACGGATGTCTTTATGCTCTATCCTGGATCCCCTCCAAGGATCCAATGAGGAAGTAGGGGGGAGATCAGAGGCACGCTGGAGGAACCCCCATCCTGGGCAACTGGCATCCCAAAGCATCCCGGAACATTGGGATGGATGCAACTTGCTGGGAAGATCCCTGTGTTAGGGCCACCTGGCTGAGCTGCCCCCAAAGCCCGGCTCCTGGGGGGGAAGGGGGTGCAGCAGGACTCAGCAGCAGCCTGGTCCCCCTGCCCCACACACACGCGAGTTGTGTCCCAGGGTTCAGCCCCAGCTGACACCATCTTCTCCTTCTCTTCACCTTCCAGCCTTCAAGGGAACCCACGAAGCAGAGCTGCTCAGGACCAGCAGTTTAGACTGTTAGAGGGGTGGGAGGGCAGCTGAGCCCTCACCTCTCAATTTTTTTTCCCCCCCCTCTCCTTTCCCAGATCTGGATCCCCTGCACCAGCTGGGGCGGTAGCCTACCACCATGGGGGTTAAAACGATGCTCCCCAGCTACGAACTGGGGTTTTACGCCCTCGCCGTGACGTGTGCCGTGGTGTACAGTGGCAGTGGGATCTTCGAAGCGTCTAGAGGTAACGCTGCCCATCGCATCCCTCTGGAGACAACCCTAGGAAGGAGGGAGGATGGATGGATGTAAGGTGGCTGCTTTACAGCTGCTGATACCAGAAGCAGATCCCTGGCTTTTTTTTTTTTTTTTTTCAGAGAACAGCTTGGGAATCCTTTGCAAGGTTCAAAAAGAGTTTTTGCCTTTTTGCCTGGTTGTTCCCTTGTCCCCATTTCCATGGCTCAGGGCAAGAGGCTGTGGCACGTCGCAGCTCTCCAGCCAGTGCCCGAAACAGGCAACCACCCTGCCTTATGTAGGGCTTGTCCCTAAATTTTTCTGTCTGGAAGCCCAAAAACCCTACAAACGGGCTTTTTGACAGGGGGGTTGGAACTAGATGATCTTTGAGGTCCCTTCCAACCCAACCCATTCTATGATTCCATGATCTTAAATTGCATGGAATCAACCAGGGGTCCCTGGGATGAGCACGGCAAAAAGGCTTTTGCTGGAAAGTCACGCAGAAATAATTGAGGTTCCTGACTCCTGTGGTTGTCTGCGGGAATCAGGCACTTTTGGGAGGGGGTGTTTGAGCCCTGATGAGGGTGAGGAAGGCTCCCTGCCTTGCCAAAACTCGGGATCTCTTGCCCGGAGCTGTTTTTCTGCCCATAACTCTGGTTCTTTTGCAGACAGCATGAACAGAAAGGCCTTTCGGGACGGGATAAAGCCGGGCTGGCACTACTTCGGCAGGAAGATGGTAAGTGGAGGAAGGACTTGGGCTTTTCCAGCCACTGGGGACACTGGTCAGTGCTGGCCACTGGCGAAGCAGAGCTGGTTTTTCTGCTGCTGAGACACTTTTGCAAAGTCCATGTGACTCGTGTTTTCCTCCCTAAGGAAGTAGTTGGGAAAACATCAGCCCTGCGGCACGGCGGGTGCTTTGTGCGCAGCGAGATGAGCGACCTCCGCGCGTCTCCCCTGGGGTTTTATGACCAAGCTAAAGAGCTCAGGAGCCCTTGGGTGGAAAACAGGAAGAAAAGGCTTTGAAAGTTGTGTGGTTCCCCCTCTGGATGGGTGTTGGGGTAGGGGTGCGAGGGCTGAGGGCAGTGAGGTGACTGGTGCTGCTCCTGCAGGACGTGGCCGATTTCGAGTGGGTGATGTGGTTCACCTCGTTCAGGAACGTCATCATCTTCGCCCTCTCGGGACACGTCCTCTTCGGCAAGATCTGCTCCATGACGGTGCCACAGGTGAGCCAGGGATGTGGTGGAATGGATTTGAAAGCACTAGGGTGATCTGGGAGCTGTGGAGGGGACGTGAGGGATGCTCTTGGAGGGGGCTTGAGGGATGCTCTTGGATAGAGGGAGCAGGGCTGGCACTTTCACCAAGCTGACCATGGGTCAGGGCTGCTCTCTTCTCGCAGCACCGTGCTGTGGTGTACATGGTCTATGGGATCCTTGCTGTGCTGGGCAGCATGGGGCTCGTCTACCTGATGATCATCCTCTCCCACTGCCTTGTCCTCTACTCCGTTGCGATGGCCAAGCAGAAGTGGCTCTGCTATGCGGCCGGGCTTTGCTGTCTTGCCTCCTTCAAGGTGGAACCATTCAGCTCCTGGCAGGTAGGTGCTGTCTTGGAACACCCATCTACCCCTTTTCTAGCCCACTTGTGTTCCTCTCCTTGGGTTTATCTCCAAGGAGGGATTTTGGGGCATCCCCAAACCTCCTGGCTGTGTCAGAGCTCCCACAGGGATTGAGAGGGAGGGGACTGTTGTGCCGTTGAGCTTAGGAATAATCATGCAGGGCCTATGTCATGTTTTGGTGGCTTCATTCTGAGCCAGAGCTCAGGACACCTGAGTCCTTGCTGCTCAGGCAACAGCTTGTCAACCAGGCAAGATGTGTTCCTGCCCCGTGCCTCAGTTTCGCCACTTATGACATGGTGCTAGGATGGGTTCAGTGCTGCCTGTGCCTACCTCTTAGGTTTCTGCCCAGCTAAGACTTCTCTTACTGATGGGTGGAGAAAAGCCCAGAAAGGACCTTAGAAAGCTCTTCAGTCCCTCTGAAGGACACAGCTGCCTGTCCTTGCCTGCTGCTTATCTCCTGAAGTGCATCCCGCCCTCCATCAGGCTTGTGCTGGCTTTCCTTCACCTCCTGGGGAGGGTTATGTCCCTGCGACAGTGTGACATTCCCACCCAGACCAAAGCCTCCGTGGCCTTCAGCAGCTTGGTGAAGACATGGCCAGGAGGATCTACCACTTCCCAGCTCCTCTGGGATGCAGGAGCTACCTAGGAAATTGAGTCCCAGTTTTCTCCTTCCAACAGCAAGGCTCATTAGCTGCGGGGACAATTGGGTATGGAGCATAATTAGAGGCTTTGCCTACTGCCCTGGGAGTGATGTCTTCCACAAAGTCACCAGGAGCACAGAAGTGTCACCACATCCCTGGCGGTAACTCTTTGTTTTTCATCCAGAGTGGGTTTGTAACAGGAGCTTTTGATCTTCAAGATGTCCTCTTCTATGGAGGAAGCTGCTTCACCATCATGCGCTGCATGAGCTTTGCCCTCGAGAGCTCTGAGAGGAAAGAGGGCATCTACTCCATCTTCGACCTCCTCAAGTACAACTTCTACCTCCCCTTCTTCTTCTTCGGGCCTGTCATGACGTTTGACCAGTTCCATGCACAGGTAAGTGCTCCTGAGGCTAGGCTGGAGGTGGTCCTCTCCTTGCATTTATTTGGTTGGGTTTAATGCCTACAAAAAAACCCACTCTGTGCCACCGTGAAGGTGCAAATAGTTGTAGAGCTTCTTGTGGTCACGTAAAGTTTGTGACCATACTCTGGGCTGCACAAAGATGCTGTGATTTTGGGGGAGAGGGGCATAAACTGATGGGTTTTGAACCTTCCCTTTTGGGTTTTTTGGCTTTCCATGGATTTCCATGGATCAATACAGGAGGGAAGACATTGCTGTGGTGAAAACACCATGCTGGGCTGAGGAGGGGAGGGCTCAGCTCATGTCTGTCTCGCTGGGCACCTGCACTGCTCAGTGCCTCGGTTTCCATGCACTGTCACCCCAGCAGCTCTGTGCTGCCCCATGGTGCGGTGCTGGGAGGCCACGGTGAGAACCCACCCATGGGACCTCTGCATCATGGTGGCTGTGAGAGCAAGGGAAGTCTCATGTTTCCATCCAGCTGGTTCACCCAAGGAGGATGAATGTCTGAAGATAATCTGTGTCTCTTAAGATGAAGTTATTTCTCTAGAAATAAGTAAGATTGGGTGGAAGACTCTGTTTCAGCAACCAGGGGCTTCCTCTGCTCCCCATGAAATACTCTGGTGCCTCAGGTCTTTGCCTGTATCACACACAACCAAGGGGACCCTGGAGCCTCCAACATCAGAAGGACGTGGAGCTGTTGCAGCAGGTCCAGAGGAGGGCCATGAAGATGATCCGAGGGCTGGAGCAATTCTCCTATGAAGACAGGCTGAGAGAGTTGGGGCTGTTCAGCCTGGAGAAGAGAAGGCTCCGGTGAGATCTTCCAGCAGCCTTTCAGTACCTAAAAGGACTACAGGAAAGCTGGAGAGGGACTTTTTACAAGGGCGTGTAGTGATGGGACAAGAGGAAATGGCTTTAAATTGAAAGAGGAGAGATTTAGAGTAGATCTAAGGAAGAAATTCTTCACTCTGAGAGTGATGAGACACTGGAACAGGTTACCCTGAGGAGTTGTGACTGCTCCGTTCCTGGAGGTGTCCCAGGCCAGGTTGGATGAGGCTTTGAGAAACCTGGTGTAGTGGAGGGTGTCCCTGCCCATGGCAGGGGGTTGGAACTAGATGATCTTTGAGGTCTCCTCCAACTCAAACCATTCTATGATCATGTTCATGATCTGATTGCTTGCCAAGCAAAAGTGCAAACTTGAACCATATGATTCTACAACTTTTTGAAAACCAGACTCCGAACAGCACTGGAAAACGTCAGCAGAGGCCTAGGCTAGGATCACCTGAACTCTGGGACTGTTTTGCATCCAAAGATCAAGAAAACAACAGTGTGGTCTTCCTCCTCACTCTTCCCATCCCAACGTCCTTTTGCAACAATAATCAACCTCGGTCATCAAACCAAACTGGTACTGTTTGCTAAGGGAGGGACTTCTTGCTTGGTCAGCAAGGGCGCTGCAAACGATTGCCACCACCTATTTGTTTCCTTTTAAAGAAGAGCAGCTACATGGAATTTTTGGACCCCAATTGACATCTGGGTGCAAGAGTGTTTTGGAAAAACATCTGTGAATTCAGAAGAAAAACCAGCCCAGAGCAGGGAAGAGCAGCCAGAGCCTCCCTAGTGAGGAGGAGGTCAAAGACCCATCCAGCCCAGCACCTTCTCTCCAATGTTGGACTGCTAGTGGTTGCCTAAGAGAGGGTCTGCACTGGTCTTGTTTCCTCCAGTGAGCAGGATGAGCCCTAATCAAAGTCCTACTCCTTGTTAATTTGTTCACCTTGGGCATTAACAACCTCATGCTGCATGCTGAAAGGATGAGAGTACAGGGCTGAGATCCCTTGGGTCTTGCAGGATCTGTTTAAAAGGACTTCTACAGCATTTGACCCTGGAGATCATAAGGTCAGCTCTGGTGTCCCCCATGAAGGACATTCATGGTGCGTTGAGTCTACCACCAGACCATTCTCAGCAGACAAGCACCAGGGATGACCAGATCCCAGCCAGGATCTTCTCCTCCAGCTGCTGGGAGAAATGTTTCATCCTGAGGTTTCGTCCTTCCAGTTGTGTCTAACGTGTTGGGCTGAAGTCCAGGCAAGAATGTCTCCAGCAGCCCCACTGTCCAAGCCCCTCTGGAGGGGATGCAGTGCCTTGAGGTGCCCTCCTCACCCAATGTTCCTCTTCCCCAGTTTCCATCAGCCTTTCCTATGAGATGGGCAGCCCTGGCTTCTCCTAACGCCGCAGCCAGGTATCTGTAAATCAGGGCATTGAACTGCTGGTGTCTCCAGGACCTGAACTCCCACCACCCCTACAAGGCTTGATCGGGAGGGTCTTGTTCCTTTTGCACAGCCCCAAACCACAACATTTATAGACACTCCATGGGCAATTCTCCCCTCTGCTGCTTCGAACCCTCACCCCAAAGGCATGAGAAATCAGTCCCCAACCCCTTTCCCATGCCTGACCAGGGGTCCTGTCTTGGCCTGGCCACCACTGCCATCTCCTGGCTAGTTCCCCCCTGCACGGCTGGATCTGCAGCTAATTGCAGAAGTGAGTTCATAATTACCCAACAGCAACTATGGGGGCAGGCAGATGGAGTCCCTTCCCCAGGGTGGGATCTATGGCCCAGTTAGGGAATGGAGCTGTCTCTCCAGCTCCTGCTGGTGCTATGTCCTGGTGGAGCCCTTGCACCTCAGTGTGTGGTGGGAACTCATCTCTACCAGGGCTTGGCCAGCCCCATTCCAGCTGAAAAGTATCTTCCTTCCTGGGATTAGGGGAACTATTTAACTTCTGGGAATGTGGGGAACACAGCCTTGATCCCGAAGGGATGGTGGCAGGATGCTGCCACCGTGGACAGACGTGAGGATGGGTGGGAATCATAGAATCATAGAATGGTTAGGGTTGGAAGAGACCTTAAAGATCATCTAGTTCCAACCCCCCTGCCATGGGCAGGGACACCCTCCACTACACCAGGTTGCCCAAAGCCTCATCCATAGAAACATGGGCTCCACATCCTCTGACGTGTCTCCATGCCAGATCCCATCCTCCCTCTGGTTGTCCTCTAGCTCAGAGTCCAGCAGCCTCTTTGTGTCCTTAAAGCACTTGGCATACAACAGACAAGAAAAAAAATCTGACGGAGGCTTTAATTCTCGGCAATCATCTGGATTTGACGACGGGGCTGGTGCAGCAGCCTGCGGATTACGTTGGGAGAGCTCCCACCTCTCGCAGGGAATAAAGGCAAAGTAATAAACATAAGAGGATTTTGGAATACAGCAGCAATTCCTACGGCGGTGCGGGGAAGCGAGGACATCGGTCTACGAGGACATAATCCTGACAGCTTGCTCTGATGATTTTTATATCACAACAGCTGGAGATGTGACAGCTCCTGGAGGCAAAGCCCAGCCCCTGTTTGTACAAGACACAGCAGAGATGAAATCCCATCAATCAGGTCCCTAATTCAGGATGGCTCCTGGAGCAGCTCTCCATCTTGTTTATAGCAGGTGTCTGCAGCAGAAGCTTCAGAGACCATCAGCCATCCTCTTCCTCCTCCTCCTCCCAAATGACCTATGCATCTGGCCCTGGCAGAGCTGTCAGGTGGGATTGCAGCCCTGTTCCCAGCCTCTCCTGGGCATGCAGATGTCCTTCCCTACAGGCTGTGGCATCCTGTAGATGTGATGGGTGTGGGCGTTTGCTCCCCTGTAGTGACCTGTGCAAGGGGCCGCCCTTAAGCAAAGTTGACTTTCTGAACATGTCCCTGCAGAAAGAGCATAAACCTCATCTCCCTGGTTGGATTTGACCCCACCTAAGGTCCCTTAGATACATCCAGATCTGTTGCTGCTGTGTTACACCATGCTCCTGCTCTGCTGGAAACCCCAGTGATGGGAGCAGCCTTTGCTAAGACCCAGGAGGCACATTGCTGCTGTGCTCAGCACTGAGGTGGGGGTGTTGGAGAGATGCTGTGGGTGGTACGTGTCTTCCTCCTTGTGCATGTGTACACGTGAGCTGGTCCCTTGGGTCTTCCTGAATCAGTGGACATTTGGGCCACATAGTCCATGGTATGATTTCTAAAGGACAGCGTTGAATTCGGACCTTGAGTGTTTCTCTGGATGAAGGAACACGCAGCCCATCCTGCCTCTCAGTTCAGCCTTTTCCTGGTTTGCCATCCCGGCAGGTGAGCACCCGAGAGCTGAGACGCAAAGACGACGAGATGAGGAACATCCGGATCCATGCCCTCCTCCACTTGGGGGCCATCGTTGCTGTGGATATCTTCTTCCACTTCTTCTACATCCTCACCCTTCCTTCTGACCTGAAGTTCATGAACCGACTCTCAGACTGGTCCTTGGGTGAGTGGCCGTGCAGGGACATACCCACATCTGTACTCAGCTTCAAGGCAGTGGTGAGTGATTCAGATCTCCATCTAACCCCATTGAGAGGTCTTGGCAATCCCCGTGTTGGACAGGTTTGAGTAAAGCCCCTCTTCTTCTCATTGACAGTGTGCAGAGCTGGGGTCTGTCAGATGATGTTGGTTTGACACCCTCATAGTGTCCTGGAGTAAATTGTTTGGCTCAGGGTTTAAGAGACTGAGCACCAAACTATTGCCATTGCCTTTGTCTGGACTGGAAGGGAGCTCGGGACCTAAAAAATCAGCCCCATGCTGTCACAAGAGACACATCTGGTGCTTTAGATGCCTTCACAGGTGGCCACCCATTCCGGGTGTCAAAGCTGGTGTTAGTGAGTCACTGAAATGGCCCCAGGGCATAGGGCAGCAGCTCGGGACAGTTGTAGCTGCTGTCTTCAACTGCCTAACGGAGGGTTGTGGAGAAGGTGGGCTCTTCTTGGAGGCTGGCAGGGAAGAAGCAGGACACAATGGACAAGGTGCAGCAAGACAAATTCTGATTGCAAGTAAGGGTTTTTTTGTTTTTTTTTTTCTTAAAGTGGCCAAACATTGAAATAGGGACCCAGAGGGGATAGAGATTCTCCAAAACCAGAGATAATCAACACTTAAATGGACAGGGTCCAGAGTGACCTGATCTCTATTTGATGTTGCTTGTGCTCTGAGCAGGGCTGGACAAGGGACCTCCAGAAGCCAAAACTCCCGGAATGAGTAGTGGTAGCAGCACTGGCGTTCAGCTGGATGGAGGATTTCAGCTGACCAAATACATGTCTGATGGCAGCATTTGAGATGCCATAGAGTGTCTGACATCCACATGGGGCTGGCACAGGGCAAACGAGGGGCTAGAGAAGCCCCATGCCTCTGCAGAGTGGCAGCTGGAAGCCAGGAGAAAATCCTAATGCAGCTAGAATGGCACTAACATTACTTTAGGGTGTCCTAAGAGACCTGGGAGGACTCACCAAGCATGTGTTCCTCCAGAGGGAGCTGAGCTCCTCTGCAGGCTCTGCTGACTGTGGCCTTTAATCTGTGAGCTGAATCCCACCAAGATAGTGCATTTTAGCTTCTGTTTGCATAGGAATTTGAAATCTTTAGTGTTTGTTCCTGCAGGAATCACCTTCCAGTGTCAGACACATCTCCGAGACAGAGGTTCTGGCCCTGGGTCTGCCATAGCATCAATGTTTACATCTACAGTCACAAGGAGATGAGGTCAGGGGTGTTTTGATGGAGGTTTCAATAAAGTCTCAGAGGTCAGCATCGAGAACCATGATGAGTTTTTTGTAGGTTAACAAGTCTTAGAGGGGAGGAAAGATCTGGTGCTGGAAGAAATCAGGTCTATATGACTTTCTTCAACTACCAGACCAATAAACAGTTTGCTCCCAGATATCCCAAGAAGATACTGTCCTTTGGTTCAAGCTGCTTTAAAAGATGCTTAGTTTTAAAAACTTTGCTGGTCCAAGTAGAGTTAGACTGTCCTCTTGATGTTAACGTTTGTTGCAACAGACTACATGCTTCCACAGGACATGATGTTGCAACAAGTTGCCCAGAGAAGTTGCAGATGTCCCATCCCTGGAAGTGTTCAAGGTCAGGTTGGATGAGGCTTTGAGCATCCTGATCTAGTGGGTGTCCCTGGCCATGGCAGGGAGGTTGGAACTAGATGATCTTTAAGGTCCTTTCCAACCCAAACTGTTCTACGATTCTATGTCCCTTAAAGTCCTGAAAGTGGTACATTCTGTTCTCCTCTTCACCTGTTTGACTCTCATTTTTGCTCCAGCTGGCTTGGCCTACTCCAATTTGGTGTATGACTGGGTGAAAGCAGCTGTCATGTTTGGGGTCATCAACACTATTGCCAGACTGGACCACTTGGACCCACCCCAGCCCCCGAAATGCATCACCATGCTCTACGTCTTCGCAGAAACGTGAGTACCCCACATACATTGATGAAGAGAGACAGCATGTTTGACCTGAATGAAACGTGCATGGTGGGGAGAAGGTCCGGGCTGTGCTTCTAAGCAGCTGGCCTGTAAGTTGGAGACTACCTGCGTTGAACAGTCTATACTGCATCTCTAGTCTAGACCTGTCCATAGCTCAGGGAAATATTCTCGGGCAGGAAGAAATGGATGAGATAAGTTACAGCCACATTGGTAGCAGGACCTGTTCAAGGAAGGAGCATGGAGAACTGCTGTGAACAAGGTTCAAGAAGTAGCTCACCAGGGGACTGGGTGCCTTCCCTGGCTAACTGCTGCGTGGGAGGGTGTTGTTACACCACGTGTTTTAACGTGCTTTTTATCATCTGCATTTTAGGCACTTTGACAGAGGGATTAATGACTGGCTGTGCAAGTAAGTGTCTAACCAACCATCTCTAGTCTTGTTTAGGTTCTTCCCTTTCATCACGTAGCAATGAAGCATTAAATGCTGTTCATCCCAAAGCTGAGGTGCCCTCTCTTCTGGGTGAATCCCACTATGGCATGAAGTCATATTTGGTCTGTTTATCCCTAAGACCATTGAATTAATCAGCACAAAGTGCAACAGCCCCTCCCAAAGTTGGGAATAAGAGAGTCCTGTCCCAGAAAACCCTTTGAGTCTGGTGGGTTTAGCATTCCTTCAAGGGAGGAAGAGACAGGTTCATATTCCGCCAAGAGGAAAGGAGAATTGAGCCCAGGTCTTCCATATCCTGGCTAACAAGGGTGGCCTGAGCTCCATCTACATCTCCCTTCAGCCTTTCAGCTCTCTTCAGCCATGAGTACACACCAGCAAACCTGTACCGAAGGTGGTGGCTCCTCTGTGCTGAAATCCTACGCATCAGCAAGCATGAGATGGCCTGCAGCTCTACAGATCCCCACATTTTAACAACCCTTTACCTACACGAGGGGGA